CACCACACACAACGCCTGCTCATCGCGCGCGTGTCATGTGTGCCATGATGTGCGTGTGCGTGTGCGTGTGCGTGTGCGGTGCCGCCCAGACGACGTTCTCTGCGGTGGTGGCGTCGCTGGAGGTGATCCGGCGTGGGCAGTGGAACATCATCCGCCTGGAGAACGAGCACCTGCACTACAAGGAGAAGTACACGGCCACCCACAGCGTCCAGCTGCCCTTCGCCAACGACGAGAACCCCTTCGAGCTCCACATGTTCCGCTCCTTCATCGGCACCGTCACCACCGAGGGCTCCACCTCCTGACGTATCTCTTTCACGATATAGTCGACAACAACACACGTTGCTGGTTGTTCAACATTGTAACTATGTAACCGCTACAATGTTTCGGTTAAAGTGGTACATTGCTATACTGGTGGTTATTTTTACAGAAAGAATGAATACAACTTGTTCACTCGCCGAGTTCGATGAGATCGGCGAGACTCGGCGGAAGCAGGTCGATGCCGTCAAAATCGCGACTTCTCCAGGACTCGTTTTCCTTGTTGTCGTCGTCGTCGTAGCACTCGTAGTCGCTCTTAGTCTGAGGTTGGTCCTCGGCATCGCGCAGCGCTGCGGCGACCAGCGCCTGCTTCTTGGACTCGGCCTCCGCCTGTTGTTGCCGCCGGCGCTGCTCGGCCCGCCACTCCTTGAGATTGGACACCAGCAGGCCCCGCTTCGAGCCGCTGTCCTCCCTGTCCTCCCGCGAGAGCCCCGCCAGCCCTACTTCCGCCGCCTCCACCGCCGCCTGGCCACACCACACCGCACACGCCCAATGACACACGCACGACACGACACGCGATCAGCGGAACGAACGCGTCGGGGAGAGTAAGGTGGTAGTGGGGTACCTGGGCGATGGCGATGGCCTGGGCGAGTTGGTCGAGGTGGTGGTGGCAGAGGACGGAGTAGTTGAGCGCCAGCCCAAGCCGCAGCGGGGCACTGCCGGCCAGGACCCGCTTGGCCAGCGCCGATCCGGCCACGTAGGCGCTGATGGCGTTCTCCTCGGCGCGGGCTCGCTCCGCGCCCGTGGTCACCTCCGCCATGTAGCGGTGGTAGTCGCCCGCCCTGAGCCAGAGTAACAAACAACAAGTTAGCACCTCGACCTTTCGTTTTGACCCGGGCGGTGTGTTGTGTGCGGTGTGTGCGTGTGTCGTGGTTGTGTGCGTGGGTCGGGGTGTGGCGGTGGTGGGTGCTGTACATTTTGTGCAGAAAGACGAGTGAGGCGGCATCGTGTCTGGAAGCGACCTGGAGCGGTTGGAGAAGGGCGATGACCTCCTCGCACACGCCCAGCACATCGGCCTCGAGCTTTTCCCGATACCGCCTGATCGCGGCCTCCTTGCCACCACCTCCGACTACACACCACATAATTTATATATATATATATATGGTGAGGAATGTGCGCTACATTATACGCATTCCGCATACAGGAATGCATACAATGTAGTGCATTCTGATAAAGAGAATGTACCGAGTGCGCAGGGGTTGGGGTGGTCGGGCGAGGGCAGGAGGGAGGTGATGGTGTGCCATGCGCTGCGGATGGGCTGCAGCAGGTTCCGGTAGGCCAGCGCAAGCAGCTCCTGCTCGTCGCGTTCGAGCGCCTGCGTCTCGACGACCAGCGTGCGCATGGCTTCTGCCATATCTGCAAGGTGTAGCGTGTAGCACGTGGCCCACACAGAGGCGCATGCCCTGTCAACAAACAAGCGTGCTCCAAAAAAGGATAATAAATAAATAATAAATAATAAAAAGGTGAATAAAGAATAACGAAACAACGGTAGGAGCGGATCCGATGGTAACGCACCTGCCCACCGCAGGGCCTCTTGGGCAACGATGGCGAACCCACGGAGGTCGTTTCGTCGAGCGGTGTCGGCCATGTTCTTCCTCTTCGTCCCCACTACTGTGGTTGGCCTTGGGGAGGTGGCTTGCTTCTCCTTCTCCTTCCTTGCCTTCTCCTCTTCCTCCCTCTTCCTCAGGCAGTAGTGGTGGTGGCAGCTTGCTGCCGGGTCCTTCTTCCTCTGGTGAAGTTGTCCTTCTACTCCCCCTTCTCCTTCTCCCCCTAGCTTCTTCTTCCTCCTGGTCGTTACCCCTCCACTGCTGTAGCTGAGCCTTGCAGCCCCGAGGGAAGCGAGGTAGTGCTTCCTCCCTGTTCCTGTTGAAGTTGTAGTTGTGGTGGTTTGTGTAGCGCCTCCTGCTACTTCTCTCCCTTCTCCTTTGTCGGTGCTTGGGTGAGTAGAGCAGCTGCTTGCAGCACCATGGTGACTACTGCTACAAATGGTGGGGCTGGATGTTGTCGGGTGGCGTGTCATGTTGTGGGTTTGGTGTGGGTTGGGCGTTATGGAGTGTTTTCATTTCCTCGGAGCTTGGTGGACCTATCTTCGAAGAACGATCCGGTAACATCTGACGACGCCAGGGAACATTGAGTTCCCACATTCCAAACATCATATCATTCACCTCAAATATCAGCAGTGTTGGTGACATACTTGGCATTCCATCGGGAGAAATGGTAGAAATGTCAAATATGTTCGGCTTTGGTTACTGGCCACTCCTCAATCAGAGCTAAAGGCCCTTTCTGGGGTGTAACGCCAGGCCTCTTAGAGGGATTCGAAGCTGGACAAAGGGGGCAGTGATGTTGCGGAAAATGATGATGACGCAGGCTTCTCTCCTCGGCCTCGTTGTCTTCCTCCTCTCTCTACTCTCCAGCGCGCCACCAACAGCCGCGCAGAGATCCATCACCACCATGGCCTCGGGGCCGATGGAGCTCAAGCTCATCCCCCACGCCCTCGCCGGCCAAAATTGTTCCATGGCCGTATGCCCCGAGGACACCGTCACCAACTTCTTCTTCAACGACGTCATCCCCGACGAAGACCCCTGCTATCTCGCCGAGCTGATCAAGGGCAGCGTTGACGGTACGATTTCTCGAGCGGAGGTGGGGGGGATGGAGAAATCAGAATTCAGAATTGAGGTCTTTGTGAATCGATTGAATTGGAAGCGATGAAAGAGGATTGACGAGTCGTCGCCTTTGGGGAGGGCACGTACAGAGGGAATCACGTCAACAGAGTCCGACGAGGAGAGCGGCGACACCACCATGGAGGTCGGCATGTCGGCCCTCCTTGACGCGGTGCTCAACGGCGGTGTCGAGTGCGCTACCAACCTCCGCAAGGTCTTCGCCAACTTTGCCTGCGGCCTGTCCTCCAACTGTACGTGGAGTCGTCAGCTCTACTTTTCTTTTCTTCTTCTTCTTCTGCTTCTGCTTCTGCTTCTGCTTCTGCTTCTGCTTCTGCTTCTGCTTCTTCTTCAAGTCCTCTGCGGCGCCCGCTCGCCCGCTCGCTCCTTCTTCCTCGAGCTTACCATTCCCGCATGGGCTGCGTACAGTCGATCTGTCGGAGGTGGAGACGGTGCATGTGCGCATGATGGAGAACCTCACGCCCGAGGAGGTGACCGATATCGGTTCGCTAGCCTCGTGCGAGTGCACCGGTAACCCGCGCTTCATCATCAACATGGTGCTGCCCTCGTTCTGCTCTTCCTCTTGCGTTGATGATCTCACCTGTCGCATCGGTACGGCGCCGCTTCACTCTATTCTATTGACCCCTTCTGGCATACTATCGTCTCACTGTCACCATGGTACGGCTCAGCTTTCTCGGCGGAGGAGATGGACGTCATTCTCTACCGCTACCAGCTGCGCATGCTGAAGCAGAAGGTCAACGCGCACAAGTACGTCCACGACCACTCCGGAGTGAGTGTTCATCACTACGGCCATGGTTGATGCTCTCCCTCGCTCGACACCAGGTGCGGACTGAACCAGGCCGCCAAGACCGTTGCCCACATGGCCCGACAGCCGTCGAGCGGCTCCTACGAGTCGTACCTCTCGGCGCAGGTCGACTACCTGGACGCGTGCCTGCCAGAGGTCTCGTCCCACATCCCAAGCGAGCCCAACTACGCCGCCCCTTCCTACTACCGCTGAGCTCTCTTCCCCCTCTCGCCCCACACTCCGCCCCCATTCACCCTTTCCCATATTGAACAGTATCGAGCCAATCCATCACCAAATCCAACAAACACCATACCTTCACGTTGAACTCCCACCCACTACTATACACCAGCCAATGACAGAGTTTTACAGGTTATACGTTTTCTCTTTTCTTTTCTCACAAGCTCTTTGTGGGAAGGGCATGCTCTAAATTAGGGCTAGAGCGAAAAGAAAAGAAGCCACAGCAGATTTCATAGATGATGATTATGATGAAGGGGCGGACAGTGAGGAACAGTTCGTGTCCCGTCGTAGCGGTGGTGGTGGCGACCGCCCTGCTCGTGTGCCTGTGGGCCGCGGAGGAGGCCCACGCCCAGCAGTTCTCACACCCCTCCTTCATGCTGCTCTGGCGAACCGACACTTCGTCTGGCTCGAAACGCAGCATAAACACTCCCCCCGTGGTTGACCTCAGGCGCCTGCTCGAACCTCTCCTCAATCCTTCGGCCCACGCCGCCTCCTCTTCGCAGTCTTCTTCATCATCAGCCTCCCAGGAAGTCGAGAGAGAGAAGAGGGCCTACACACCCGAGACCCTGTTCGACTACGTGGAACCTACCGAGGACGTGTTGGAGCAGATCAGAGGCGTGGGTCCGATGGGCTTCATCGAGATCGACAGCGCCTCCACCTCCTTCAATCGCCCCCTCTTCGACTACGACTCTCTGGTTCGCGCCGCCTACATCGTCAAGTACCATTACCCCCCCAATCTGCTTTCAGCCAGCTGGAGTGGCTTTGGTGGTTATATCCATAATATACACATATATATACAAACCATTACTATGATGTTGATGCCAGAGGGAAGATATTGATCGACGATGTGATTGCTTAACAGCTACAAGGTGATGAACGGCGAGACGCCGGGCTGGGATGACTGGGGCCTGTACAACGCCACGTCAAAGAGGAGGAGAGCGGAAGGCGCTGGTTCCGAGCGGCGAAAGCGGGTCACCGACGGCAACGGCTACGAGGAGAACTGGATCGGACGCACCGGCGTGTCGCCGTTCAAGGTCACCAAGAAGCTCGACCGAGTCTCCCCCAAACTCGTCGAGTGTACGGCCGCCCATCCTTCGCTCATGTTTTTACTTTGATGAGGGCGAATGCTGAAGTTGTGTTGTGGACTATGTTGTGTATTGTAGCGGCCTTCACCACCAACCAGATCGGAGCCTCGCCCGACTTGTTCGAGCTCGTTGCCTTCTTCCGTCTGGGTAACTCCAGCGCCAGCCCCTACACCATTATTCGCCTCCACCACGCCATCCTGTCCGAGTACCAGCTCCTCCTAGATGGTACGTCTTTATCATATTCAACTGTCATCATGTTCATCAACACGTGTTAATCTGATTATACTGCGTAGAAGAGGAAGCGGTGGAGGAGCTGTGGTTCGACTACGCCAAGATGGACTACTCGTGGGTGCCCAGCCTGCGGAAGTCCTGCTCCGACGAGGGATGCCCGCCCAACGCCACGTCGACGCTCAACTGCCGCCTGGGCGTCCTCTACGATTTCCCCTTTGACCCCGTCTTCCCCGGATGCCCAACCAGCGTCCACTGGAGCCTCTCCAAGAAGTAAGCAACACCCACCATTCAACACCCTACCATCAACTCTTTCTCCCCTACATAGCTTTATTTTCATATTTATCATGAAAAACCATAAAAACAAGCAAAAAACACCCAAAACAATACACAAAAAGCCACCAATAACCAAGACACAACAGGAGCAAAGTTGAACAGCTGCACCATCGAGCTTGGGGGGGTGATCCTAGTTTATCGGAGGGACGCGCCGTGTTGCCTAATTTCCGCCGGGAACGCCTGCTTGGTGTGCGGCAGCAGCTGGGAAAGGGGTGTTTCCTGCGGGACGATGTTCAACGGTTTCGGCTTGTTGGGCACACTTCGCCCAGACTTCGCTCTGAGAGCCAGCACCTGCCCTACGGCCTACGGTGTAGTGAAGCAAGCTGCCTTACCGGCTTTTTGCCCACTTGAACTCAAGCTCTCGACACGAAGACGAAGAAGCAACCATACAGTCGGAGTTGATATTGTCAGACCCAACAGCCTTTACACGTAAGCGCCTCCGCCCTCCATCTTTTTCCTTGTTGCCCCCCCCCCCAAATGCACTACATGTTTCATTTCAGTCTAAATCGTTGCAATCGCCTAACGTCTTAATTTCAAATTTAGAATTTATTCAGATATAATACCACTCAAATCTACAACCGCGAGAAGACATCGATGGCAAGCACAGGCATCTCCCCCTTCCCACCCATCCGCTTCGATCAGGCCGTCAAGTTTGCCAACGACGCCAGCGGCAAGGATCGGCTGCTGCGTCTCTTCATCTACGTCGGCCGGCTCGCCATGTGGGCCCTCAAGCGCCGCGGGCTGGCCGAGGCCGCCGCGCGCATCAAGGCCCTCGACTCGGCCTTCAACCACACGCGCCGCGTCCTGCGGCTGGGCAAGCTGGGCAACGCCGTCAAGCAGTGGAACGACTGCCGGGCCAAGTTCTGGGGGCCGGCCGGCCTCAAGTGGGCCTTCTTCGTGGTCGAGCTGTTCAAGATCACGGCCGGCAACGTCTACATCTGCTGCGACCACCTGCGATGGCTGGGCGAGATCGGCGTCTTCAAGTCCATCGACTGGAAGAAGTGGGGCGACCGCTCGACCTGGTGCTGGTTCGCCGGCCTGGTGGGCTCGCTGGCCATGGACGCCCTCCAGCTGCGCGCCAGCCTCACCCGCGAGCGGCTCCTCCTTCAAGATTTGAAGGACAGCCAGCTGCAGCCGCACCAGCTCGACCAGCTCGACCAGCGACTGACGACCAGCGGCGACGCGCAAGCCAAGTCACAGCAGGAGAACAAGGGCACGGCGGCGGCGGCGACGGCGACAACGGCGACGAAGCAGGAGGCGGAGAAGGCGCTGGCGCAGCTGCGACGGGCGCGCGAGCTGATCTACTGGGACGTGGCGAAGAACGTGTGGGACGCGCCGCTGGCGGTGGTGGGCTCGTTCAAGCTCACGGGCATGCCCGGCGGCGTGCTCGAGGTGTGCGGCACCATGTCCTCCCTCATCAACGTCTACCTGTCCTGGCGCGCCATGTTCCCTCCTCCCGCGCCCAAGTAGAGGCCACCCACCACCTCACAACCATCACCACCACCCACCACTGCCGCCACCTCATCATTTGTGATCTTTTGTTACCTATAAGAATACCCTTCAGGCCACTACATCACTGTACAGTGTAGGCCTTCATCCACCACCCTTCCTTGTGCTGTGGCTTGTTTGATGGTGTTACTTTTTCTCTCTTTTTTCTTTTTCTGTGTTATTATTGATCTGCTTTGTTGTGGTGGTCTTCCTGGGTGTGATGATGGTGGTGGTAGGTGGTGTAGGCGTCTTCTTCGCCGGCTGTTTGGTCTTCTGGTTGGCTGTTGTTGGCTGGCATCTCCCCCATCGATGACTGACCCACGTGCTCCCCTTCTTGGTGGTGATGATGATGGTGACCCTCTTCTTCTTCTTCAGGCATGCCCTCGTGGAAGCTCATCTCTGACATCTGATGCAAAGAGTCAGAAGAGAGCGAAAGAGAAGAAGAAAAAAAGAGAGTTGCAGGTGGGAGCGAGGGAGGGGACGTACATCCAGGTGGCCAGGCTCGTTTTGGATGACCTCGACCATGTGCACGGATCCGTCGGCCTCGGACACAGTGACGTGGTGCATGGCGTGGAGGTGGTGGTGATGATGCACCATTTCCTCGTGGTGCATGTCCTCGTGGTGGTGATGGTGGTGCAGGGCATCGCCCATGCCCTCCATCCCCTCTTCCTTGTCGCCCTCTTTCATTTCCTCGCCCTGCCAGCGATATCAGGACAGTGAGTGATGGCGCCAGACGAGCAGAGCGCCAACACACACTACACACACACACACACACACACACACACGACACACACAAAACTGAAGTTGGGCGGATCGATCACGGTACCATGAAGTGCTGGAGGGCAGCGCCCAGGTCGCTGTGGGCGTGCGAGTAGAGTGAGTGCTGGCCGTTGTGGTCCATCGAGAGCTCGACGCCGCTTGACGACCCCGCCAGCGCAGTCGGATCGAAGGTGAACCTAGCCAGCCCACACACAAGCAATCGTCAGCACCGAACGACACACGACACGACACGACACGCACATAACCGCACACACACACACACACACACACACACACACGGCCGCACACAACGCGCAAAGCGGTGACGAATTGGTGTAGGCGTACTCTCCGGTGGAGGAAGCGCCGGCGGAGGTGAGCTTGGCGTAGACCGGGTAGTAGGTGGTGCTCACCAGCGCGCCGCCCGTACCCGCCGTCGCGTAGCTCGCCGGGAAATTGTAGGCAAACGGCGACATCATCCCCACCTGCTCGCCCACGCCCTGCTGCTGTTGGGCCGCAATCAGCTCCGCCACCGAGCCCGCGGCGGCCCCGCCGACGCCGTTTGACTGCGGCGGCTGCTGCGGCTGCTGGTGGTGATGGTGGTCGGCCGCCGCCGGGTTGCCGTTGTTGTTGCCGGACAGGAGCCGGGCGCGCACGGCGGCGGCGACCAGGCCCTCGCGCTCCTCCTCGAGCTCCTTCTGCTTCTGCTCGATGAGGATCTGCTGCTGCTTGCGCCGCTCCTTCTCCTTGTTCTGGCCCTTGACCCACTCGAAGCCGATCTCCTCCATGAGCGCCACCTTCTCGGCCGTGAGCGCGTTGGCCCGCTTCTTGTCCTTCATCCGCCGCACCCAGTAGAACAGGGGCAGGTTCTCGCGCCACTTCCACGGCACGTTGCAGTGGCCGTGCTCCTGCTTGAAGGCCAGCAGCTCCTGGTACCGCTCGTACCACGACTTGCGCTCCTTCACCGACGACGGCCGATAGACCACCACCTCCTCTTCCTCCCCCTCCTCCCCTTCGCCTTCGTCTTCGTTTTCGTTTTCATTTTCGCCGTCGGCCTTGGGCACGGCGGTTAAGGTGGCGGCAGCGGCGGCGGCGGCGCCGAGCATGAGGCGGTCCTTCTGGTCGGTGGCGATCGCGGAGCCCTGGCCGATGGCCGGCTGGAGCAGCTCGACGTGGTGGCCCACGACCAACGGCTGCGGCGTCTGCTGGTGGTGGTGCGGCTGCTGATGGTGCTGCTGGTGCTGATGGTGGTGGTGGTGGATGTCCAGCGACGCTGCGGCGAGCATGGCGCCGTGGTCCATGCCGGCTGGGGCGAATGCGGGCGGTTGGCCGGCGGCGCCGATGGCGGTGAGGTCGTAGGCCGACGAGGGAGAGGGCGACGGTGAGGTGCTGCTCTTGCGCTTCTTGACGAGGACGACGGCGGCGGCGGTGGAGGAGGCGGCGGGCGGGTCCTGCTTGCTCCACTCGAAGCCGATGCTCTCGAGCCGCTTGATCTTGTCCTGGCTGAGCTTGCCGTGCCGGTGGAACGAGCGCTGGCAGTAGAGCCAGTTGGACAGCTTCACGTTCTCGCTCCACTTGTGCGGCACGTTGCAGTGCCCGTACTTCTCCTTGAACACCTGTGCCACGCCACATCAATCAAGTCAGCACACGCACACGCACACGCACACGCACACGCACAGGACACACCTTGAGCTCTTCGAAGCGTTCGTTCCAGGGGATCATCTTGCGCTTCTCGCCCTTGGAGGCGGCGGTGACGTTGCGGCAGCACCAGACGAAGCCGACGCCCTCGAGCAGCTTGACGCGCTCGAGGGGCAGCTTGCCGGCCTTCTTGAGGTTGCGCGTGGTGGCCACCCACTGGCCCAGCCGCTTGTTCTCCTTCCACACCTGCGGCACCCGGCAGTGGCCGTACTTGGCCTTGAACTCCTCGAGCTCGCGCAGCCGCTCGTCGAACTGCGCGTCCTGTCGCAGCGCTCCGTCGTCGCCACTGCCACCGCCGCTGCTGCCGAGCCCATCGTCGCCGCCGGTGCTGGTGCTGTCGTTGTTGATGTTGATGCCGCCGTCATCCATGGAGATGGAAGCTGGCTCGCCATCTGTGGCTTCGCCTTCCTCCTCTTCGGCCTCGGTGGCGATGCTCAGGTTCGCGGAGGAGGAGGATGAGCCGTCCAGTTGAAGCGAACCGCTACTTGCCAGACTTGGCACGGCCGCTGATTCGTGCATGGAGCCGTTAATGGCCGCTACTCGGTGATGTGCCATTTCATCTTGATGAGACCCAGGCGCTACGTCGAGTCGTGGCCGCTTCGCCAGTGGCTCCATCGCTGAGACGTCGGCTTCTTCAGGGATGGGAGCGTGATGATTGACCTCGCTACCCGAATGCCCATCGGCCAACGTAATCTCGAGCTCGGGAGGGAATGCCGGAAGCACCACGTCGTGGTCGTGCTGTGGTGCGTCCATGCTTCGATCCAATCCTGTCAATTGGACGCACTGATGTCAATTTTTGCGCCACCCAGTGCGTCATTCTTGGGAGAATATTCTATTTATGATTTCAATTCAATCACATCAACACACAACAGCCGCCATCTTCATCTGCCGAGGCCATCTTTAAGATGGGTGAGGTTTAAGATGGGCGTACCCGTAACAAGGCGGTGGCCTCCACGTTAAAGATTGAAAATAATAAAATAAAATCTGCCACGTTTTCAAAAAAAAACAACAATTTCTTCGAGAGGAATCTGACAATCTTTCAACGTGAAGGACTTGCCGCAATCTGCACGACAAGCGCACGGTACTGCCTCCGTCCATTTGCCAATTGCACAGATCACATTTGTTGTTCCTGCGACGCAGTGAAAATTGACCA